GCTTTGGAGGCTTGGCTGGTCTCGAACTCACAGAGATCCACCTGCCTCTGCCACCTGAGTGCTGGAATTAAAGGCGTGCACCACCAACACCCGGCTCCATGTTCTCTTCTTTATGTAAGGTGGTTCTACTCAGCCCCACCTTTCACCTGTCTTTGTAAGCTGGTGGTTCCTGAGCATGGCCCCTGTTCTGCATGAATAGGCCAACAAGGGTGCAGGGTATAGGGCCCACAGAGCTCTTCGAAGGCTTCAGAATGTCACAGCAACTTATAAATGTCACTTAGAAGAAATAATTCAGTTCTAAGGTGGCAGCACCTTGGGCATGTGTTTTGTAAGTCTCCCGGTAGAATCACTGTATGTGGATGCCAGCGGTGTGAGGCTTGGATGGGCCCCAGGCCCTGAGTCTTACTGGCTCAGCTTCTGTCCCCTTCACCTTCTCATGGACACTGACTTGGTAGCAGGTGGCCATCACTGAACCCACAGGCTTCAAGGGACTCAAAGAAGCCAGGGTTGGAGATAGGAGCTGGCAGATGAGGGGACACATCTATAACTAAACACCTCAGGTGGAGGAACATTCTTTGAGGTACTCTGTAAATCTGGCAAGGCCACCCCGAGTGAGAGGCATTAACAAGCCCAAGTTACTTTCATTGGTGTGAGCATCCTCACTGTGTGGGCATCCTCACTGTGTGGGCATCCTCACTGTGGGTGGATCCTCACTGTGTGAGCATCCTCACTGTGTGGGCATCCTCACTGTGGGTGGATCCTCACTGTGTGAGCATCCTCACTGTGTGGGCATCCTCACTGTGGGTGGATCCTCACTGTGTGAGCATCCTCACTGTGTGGGCATCCTCACTGTGGGTGGATCCTCACTGTGTGAGCATCCTCACTGTGTGGGCATCCTCACTGTGGGTGGATCCTCACTGTGTGAGCATCCTCACTGTGTGGGCATCCTCACTGTGGGTGGATCCTCACTGTGTGAGCATCCTCACTGTGTGGGCATCCTCACTGTGGGTGGATCCTCACTGTGTGAGCATCCTCACTGTGTGGGCATCCTCACTGTGGGTGGATCCTCACTGTGTGAGCATCCTCACTGTGTGGGCATCCTCACTGTGGGTGGATCCTCACTGTGTGAGCATCCTCACTGTGTGAGCATCCTCGCTGTGTGAGCATCCTCTCTGTGTGAGCATCCTCACTGTGTGATCATCCTCGCTGTGTGATCATCCTCTCTGTGTGATCATCCTCACTGTGTGAGCATCCTCGCTGTGTGAGCATCCTCGCTGTGTGAGCATCCTCGCTGTGTGAGCATCCTCGCTGTGTGAGCATCCTCGCTGTGTGAGCATCCTCGCTGTGTGAGCATCCTCGCTGTGTGAGCATCCTCGCTGTGTGAGCATCCTCGCTGTGTGAGCATCCTCGCTGTGTGAGCATCCTCGCTGTGTGAGCATCCTCGCTGTGTGAGCATCCTCGCTGTGTGAGCATCCTCGCTGTGTGAGCATCCTCGCTGTGTGATCATCCTCACTGTGTGAGCATCCTCACTGTGTGAGCATCCTCACTGTGTGATCATCTTCACTGTGTGAGCATCCTCACTCTGTGAGCATCCTCACTGTGTGAGCATCCTCACTGTGTGAGCATCCTCAC